AATGTGCTGGTTGGGCGACATAACAGGTTACCGCTACTGTGTATTCCAAAAACATTGTGCGTCTTTCGGAATTAAATTCTAAAAATATCACGTAAATTTCGTTACAATTTCTCAGAAACGATCATTGCGGGAAAATTGTTGGCCGGGACTAAGATTTTTGAACGATCGATGCGATAAAACGATAGTTCGAGGAACGATAGAAGCGGGAAAATGTAACATTATTTTATATGGGATGTATTCGGGACCGAACAAAACGGACGATGCATCCGGGAAAACGATAGTTCCGGGAACGATGGATAGAGGTTTCACTGTAGTAAACAAACGTCAAGTAAAATCAACATCAGGAGGGTACATGATTTCTGAAATACAAAACTGTGACATGTCTTTGAAAAGAATGCTATTTTTGTTAAGGTGCTTTTATGGAAATGTGAAATAACTTTGTAACTGGGTTAAATTAATACTTATTCTATGTTTTGACTGTGCAGAGTAACCCACAAATTAACGCATTCCGGTTGCCATAGCAACATCCGTCAACTTGGAGACGGTAATATGGAGTACCAATGAAGGAATTACATAAAAATATTTCAATGTATTGGCTATTAAGTTACAGTAACCCATCTGTTTGGGAACAAGTCATGAAAAAACTGCTACAAAATTAAAAAATCATAACTAAGGCATGACTAGTGGAGTTAACTGAATGTCCCATAAAAAAGTCGTGGAACTGGATATGTGTTATGATGTAGAAGAAAGAAAATTAATAGTAACAGAAATAACTGATTTGGAACCTTATTTCTCAGCAACAAATGTAATTTACTGTGCCTCCAAAATATTACAGGGCTTCATTAAGTTCTACTTACATTACCAATTACATAGTCTTCCACCAAACCCATATTTTATTTCTATTACTTTGTCGCACATGTAACAACTGCTGATTATCACCGTCATTAATCCAAACCAGCTTAAAAATATCTGTGACTTCCATACATAGAAGACTTATAAAATATAATTGTTATTTACAAGCCTGCTACTGAACTAAAGACATGAATGACATACAGAATTATCTCTAGTAAATATGTGCATCTGTAATTGGCTCTGACCTTGAGATCACATGTTGTGTTCAGCAAGAGGTTGCTGGGCTTCAGGTCCCGATGTAAGACATTGGCCGAATGGATGTATTTTAGCCCACGTAGGATTTGGTACAAAAAATAACAGATGTGGTCATTGCTTAGTTTCTGAAAATTTAGAAAGCAAAAATTCATTAACTATTGTATGGTATAATGCATTATTTTCTTCCACAGACTCAGATTCACAGTAGATCACAATTGAATGTCAGAGGATAAATCCTGAAAAGGAAAATAGTACTTACCAAAGCGAGGAGTTTGTATGAAGTCTTTAAACACAGAAGGCATTATTAATCGCTACGTTGTATAAAACTCAACTGTGCACCACAAAGTTAATGAGAGCCCTCGATGAATGAAGAAAACTACTGTAGCTGACTTGATAATAACAGTATAATAACAATACGCTACACAAAAGACAATGGAAAAATCTGTTAGATTCAGTGATTAGCATGACATGGCATGGCAAACACTGTTTCTAAGCAGTTTCTATCATAACACACAGCATGATTGATCATTTCAGGAGTCCAGTATGTATGCCTTCTTGCTACCAGCGAGTTATGTTGTGAGTAACAAAAGCACCAACATTCATTCCATAATTCAAGGTGCTTTTGGTAGAACTCATTCAAGCAAAAGATCTGTTCCTTCACTTACATTACAACAATTCACATTTACAAACTCCAAGTGACCCTCCACCCTCTCTTGATTTATGCACAATCTCCATGACCCATCCCTCTTCTACACTTCCAAACTTCACCAATGACAACATTGAATTAATGACTCTCAGAGTAACCCTTGACTTGATGGATGGAGGAACACAACACAAGCATGCATAACTCATTTATGTTTAGGGACAGCAGTGCATCTTCATCTTCAATTCCTGTGCATAAACACAGATGACAGAGCCATTTATTCTGTTAAAAATGTACCAACTCTGACATCAATCAAGGGCTACAAAAATGAAGAATTAATGATAATTATGGAATATCATAAAAGCAAAATATTCTTTATGTAAACTAAAATTTAAAGCAAACTGAATGCAAAACAGAACATGCAGTTTTTAAACTAATGGAGTCTCTGAAAACCTATCATGCACCAATTGGCTACACTGCTTTATCACACATTATGAAATACCAACAGTCAAAGCAGTAAACAAACAAAACACACAATGGACACTTTTACTGTGTAACCTACCTTTATGCTTCAGCAAATTCACAACCTATCAAATTAAATTTATATACCAAAATCTTTATACAATCTGGTTTTAAATGAAAATAAGTGGGAATGGTTTAGTTCATTTGTCTGGATTGGAGCTGATTTGAGTGATGAAAACTGACTGAATGTGGACCAAACTGCTGGATGGTGAAATGTACCTGTTTCCTTTTTTTGTAAAACAAGTCGCCAGAAAGTGGGGGGGGGGGGGGGGGGAGGAGAGAGAAAGAAAGAAAAATAGGGGGATTGCAAAGGAAGAATGAATAAATATCCAACTTTCAATCCACATCAGTAAAACCAGTCTTTTGAACTCATTTACTCACAAACATATCTACTTAAAGCTCAAATTAAACAATATGAATGTACATTACATAAAATACTTATCTTATTAAGATCTACAATTTTTATTAGCAACATCTTTTGATAAAGTGGATATTTAATAAAATGCAAAGAAAATTTGTATGTAGTGTCAATATATTTGCAATAACAGATATGAATCTCAAACCTAATGGAACACACTACTGACATTCATTTTCCTTACTGCTGTTGAGGATGTATGTACTTTCATAAAATAAATTATTGTAATTACCTGACTAAGTTTTATTCACAGTATAGTAAAAGAAAAACTGATTCAGCTCTATTCAAAATTCAAATATTATGTACAGTGATAGAACACAGCAACCAAAAGAAAAAAAATACAAGGAAGTAAAAGAATTGTACTGATTTCAGACAATAATCCATGCAGGATTAAAATGAGTATAATTACACAGAAGTTTGAAGAAGAACTAACAAATTAATTCCATGGTGCAGAGGCCTTCTTGAGGAACTAATAGTCCCCCAGCAGTCTTTTGTGAGAAATCAAACTTTGTACTGTATTCACAACAGCCCACTACTGGAAACTAGCCTGAGTAACATAAATCCAATCCATATCCTCACACACCATGTAAGATACATTTTATTATTAGCCTCTCATCTATGCCCAGGTTGTCCAAATGGTCTCTTCTCTTCAAATTTCATGATTAAAATCTTATATCCTTTTACTGGCATTCACATGCGTGCTACATGTCTTGTCAGTACTGTCATCCCTGATTGTCTCAAGAATAAATAAAACTAACTGTGCTGCTACAAGATTGGCGCCAGCAATTTTAAAAAAAAATAAAGGTCAATGTGGTATAAAGAAGGTATTATTAAAAAGTTCACTACAGATTTCAGTATGCTTTTGCATTCTTATGTAGTCAATCATCCCACTTACTGTGAGATAATAAAACAAGGTCACAACCGATATGAAAAGAATCCCAAACCTGGGATCAAACATGCAACCTCAATACAGTAATAAAATCTCATTTCTTCCTTGTATATTGGCATTGAAATGTACTTATCAGGGTTTGTCTCTCAGTATTCCATGGTTACCTTAGCAGATGCCTTCACTTAATCATCACAGTGGCATTTGGAGCAAGTAAATTTCAGCAATGTCATCGCAGTCACATGACTAAAACAGCCCAGCATGCTTAAAAAAGAATCCTGACATTGTACCTGATTACTTGCCTGTGTTTTTAGGAGTTTGTACAGATCTGTTTCCATCAGACACTGTACAATATACACATCCTTCATCTGGTCAATGGTTACAGAACGAAGAATATCTCTGATATCTATTATCTGGACAAAATAAATAATTTATAATAAACAACAGTTAATAATAAAAGAACACAATTGTAGGATTTAAGGTTCTCAAAGTGGTACATATGAAGATAGTTGTTTTCTGGGTTGCTATCTTCAGGAATATAATTGTATCTGTCTTGTCATATTCACAGAGTTTATGCATAATTCTGTCAGTATAACAAGCAATGGACAAAAAACATTTATATGCACATTTAATTTAAAATGAAAAGGTTACTTACTTAGACACCATGAAAACATGTCAGAACAGTTTGTGTTATGACAGAAAATAAAATCACATACCTACTAAATAAAAGTCAGATTCAATGTAATGGGCCAATTTGTGTAATCGATGTGAGTTCAAAAGTGTGTATTTAATTTCAAGTATTGTACAAGAATACGTAATTGTATGTAGTGTAATGAATATTAACTTGAAATGAATTTTATATGAAGCTCTTCATACTAGCGATGAAGATGGCTGTCTTCTGGGTTGTTGCACCATGCAGTCTGGTAGCAGTTTACTGATGTTTCAGTAGTCCTTGCTGCCTCTATCATCAGGGCAATGAGTCTCTGAATCATCGGTAAACTTATACCAGACTACACGGTGCGACAACCCAGAAGACAGCCATCTTCACTCACAGCCACGAAAACCTCAAATCCTACTTTTCATACTACTCTATATTAATTGAAAAGGGAAGTTACACAAATATTTTCAGTCTTTGAATAGATACCAATATGAATACTTCTATAAGTGCCTCAGGTTCATTCTTCCTTACAAGCAAATAAGTGTTCAGAATGTATCTTATCTAGATGTTTCCCATCATATGCAACAAAACCATTCTATTCCTCCCTCGAAAACAGAAATTATGATAGTGTTTACCATACGATCAGTGGCATTTCTATAACATTCATATAAACCTACTTTAATTTTATATACTTTTTATGAAAATATTACAGACACAATGGATGTGTAGAAAGGAATAGGAACACAGTTTTTTTTAGCTCTTATAGAACGAGAAAAGGAATGAAAAATCTGCAACAAAATTCACCATCAAGTCTTAAAGCGAAAACAAATATACCTAGTGTGCTACGATATACTCACATTTTCGTGCCTGAACCTGGTGAGAATTTTAATTTCTCTCAGTGTTCTCTGACAGTACGTCTGATGTTCAAAAGGAGATATTTTTTTGATTGCGACCTTGGTCTTTGTTACATTATCATAGGCAGATCTGAAAAGAAAATCACATGGAACTAAACAACACACACATTTTCATGTCTTTAAGACAGCACAGTAATATCTGCTTCCCTAAATAAAAATTATATTATGTTACAAGACTAGAATTTTAATGCTGCAACATTTCAGAGGTGTAAAGCATCCAAGTTTTCAGACTATAAAAAAGAATAAACAAAAAGGGTCCCGCACTGGATGAGATTTACCACTCATTCATACATCCTTAATCAATAATTTACCAGATCTTTAACAATACATTTGATATACTAACCCAAAGGGAGTTAATTTTAAATCACAGTGCAGCTTCTGACAATGTACAATATAGCACAGAATCAAACAAACCTTATGAATTAAATTAACGTGATTGTTTGTCACATCTTTCCTATGAACTAGGCAATCCACATGGCTTCCAAAAGGGCAATGTAAACCCAGGTGGCTACACTCTGAGTTCCTTCCCCTTTCCCAACTGGAGACCTCCACACCACGTTTCCCCAATGGAGGTTTCTCCCCCCAGCCTTAGCCCCCTTCAATCTAGTCACACTTTGGGGATTTGCTGGACTGGAAACCCCTGGGCTTAAATCCCCTGGTCTTTCCCCAGAATACTTGCTCCCTGGGGCCTGAACCCCAAGTTTGTTGTTCCAAGGTCCCTGTTCCCCAGGTTTCCTCTCCTGTGCCTTACCCACCTGGGCATGGCCACACAGGTGGCCAAGTTACCTCACTGGGGCTCCACCCCTTCAGGAAAAGCCTAAGTATTCCCCTCCCCCAACCCGGCTCCAAACCGGGGTTCACGGTCTTGCAGATTTACAAACCAAGCGTTCTCAATGTCTGGGGCCATGCCCCCTGCACATTCTACTCTCTGGCCACCCACGGAATTGCCACACAGAGGCTTGGCCGACCAGATCTCCTCCAATGGATGAAATCCATGGGGCTTCTCCCACAGATGGGGTCTGATAACCCTGTCTACGGCTTTACCACCCAGGCATCTCCCCAGAATGATAAATTCTCACAATGTTCAAGTTCCCAGCTCTTTGTTCTACAGGCCACATCTCTGATGCCTTTGCCACTATGACTTGACATCTCTGTGCTTCTTACCTTCTTGGTTGCAACACTGAACCGAGGTCATTGCTGAACACATTGTTTAAAAAATGTGAATATGATCAAGAAGTGTTGCAATGAAGTGAACCTAGGTGACTGTTTGTTGAAACAAGTTGAATGGAGATAACTGGTGCATCACACTGTTGTAACAATGACCTCGGATCACATTATTAAAACAAAGACTTTGGGTACCATTGTTTAATCTGAAGAACCCCTTAGGAATTTCACTGTACTCCAATGAGTACACCTTTCAAGTTTTGTCACTTTTTATATCTGTGATGTTTCTTGAGAAATATTCAGCAACATTTTCATCATCGTCACACTACCGTTTTCTTTAAAATTGGTTCACAATAACGTCCACAATCGTATCAAAATATAGCGGTAAGGAAAAACAATCCCCTGTTCTGAAATTGGCTGCACTTATAAATGTTTTGTTACCAAATATCCTTATTAGTGAAACCATTGGATGGGTTGTGCACATACAGGCTTGGTTAAAATTCAAATACCACCTGATTGGTGTTGTGCCTGACAGCAGACAAGTACAAACTGCGTATAACAGTCCACGTAACCCGTACCTCTTCGTTGCGATGCTGAACCAGATTCCCGATTCTAGCGAGGGTTTTCCTTCAGCGTCATTTGTTGTGAAAAGTGAGGCACAAACCCAAATTGGCTAAACTTGGTACTTTGGAAATGCAGGACAGTCATTCAACAATCATTAATTTTGATTGATATGTTCAATGACAAACTAACAAAACTCTTTAACTACAATTTCATTAGCCACTCCAGTGTGTTCGTGTTCTCTACAATGAGCTCAGTTGATGATATGTGGGTTGATAATAAATTTATAAAAAAAATTATGAATGTGCAACACACTGCAGCCATCACAGCAAATACGAATCCCGACTGTGTAAACAATTTTTTAACTTAGAAAGTTTAGCGATGACTTCCTTTAATGTTTAACAAACTGTACACTGAAGGGGAAAAAATTGACGGTGGAAGGAGTGGAAGTAAGAAAAAGAAAACTAACTATAGATCAAGAGACAGAAGACAAACACACAAAAACATGATAAATTAAAAACAAAAGAAGAACATACAGACAGAGAGCGGATAGACACTTCATGTCCCTCCCATTATTTCTCTTCATGCCAGTATCTCCTGTGACAGTTCTGAAACAGCCGTTAAGTGTTGCAACAAAGCACTACTGATGAGCAACGTAACTTGCATGGCCATGAAGGAAGTTTCTCAGCTCGACGCAAAACCAGAGAGTAGTGCGCGCGAACGAGAAGCCCAAGGGAAAGATGATAGGTTGTACAGAGAATATTACCGCGCAACATGTGTTGCTTTGTTAGCCATTGTTTCACATCAAGCTCTTGGGCAACTGTTTGTTTGGAAAGCATCGCTAAACAATGTGTGTACAACCCACACATTATTATTCCCGGCCATCAGCTATAGAAGTTCAAATACACCATAACTAAAACAGACAGCGGCGAATACTTCATTAAACTTCTCTCTTAAATACTGATGGTATCTTAGCTTAAATAATCCCTTCAGATACTGACATAATAGAGCCCAACTTCTAAGTATCACGCCATGCAGACGTATGGGGAGTGGAGATACAGCTCCGCGTATTAGCCTCGCCAACAGATTGACGTGAGTGTTTAGGTACACGCTCCGGTTGCCTTGCCCCCGAGAACAATTCCTTGGTACCCATTGGGAAAGTGGCTGGCTGCCCTCCAGAGACGGTATGGAAAAATTCCTGTCCTATCGGAAATTAACCCCCAGCGAGTTAGCGTAATGACTGACATCTGTTATTATTTTACTGTTCTGGAATTCGTAGATTCATGGCCACAACTACAACCATGACCGAGGAAAATGATAAAAAAAACCCAACAGGACAGCCGATATGCGAACAACTGACGTCCTGAATATGAAGCGGTAGGAAGTTACGGGCCGGCATTCCACACGGGAACACAAGAAACGCATGCAGGATTTTTACATTGACACCGTTTTATAGCAAAACCTTCAGAGAAAGACAGATCTGAAGAAACTATTAAACAGCATCTTGAGGAAACAGGATGTGGTAAGGATGGCTGTCTTCTGGGATGCTGCGCAAATCCTACTTGGGATGTGGTAATGTGACGCTGAAAGACATAGGTTAGGATGGGGTCTAATGGCGTGATCTTAGTTCAGAGATGTTTCATTTCAGAACTTCAGTACCACAGGCGTAGTTACTAGGAGGCAGTTCGTGTTATGAGCCAGTTCAATAAGAACGACGCTAGGCACGGAGCGTTCAGCTACGTTGTTGTTATTCCTCTGTCGATTTTCCTACGCCAAACCGAATAAGTATTCGTTTCACACGCCGCTGACATGACATTTATTCCAAGGGGACATTCACAAAACTTTCGGACTCTTCAGCCGGAATAACAACTATTCTTTATAGTGATTTTCCTTGGTGTTCTACACCTCTGATGATGCAAGAAGTCCAGAATTTCTTTAGTTGAAATATCAGTTGAACAATCTAGGAATAAATGCACACACTGATA